ACAAAGACCACCTGCTAATCAACACATAAAAAGTCTTGGTTTTCAACCAAATTGTCTGCAACAGGCAACTCATGGCTTCAAGATCAGTAATAAGCCTGCTTGTTTTCTCTCTCCCCTCCACAAAAGTTCATCCTGACACAGAGAGAAGACATGAGAACACAATAGGCTATTTGGGTCATGGGACTGGTCTTCTGCTTCAAAACCTAAAAGTGCCTCGGGAGGGTGAGGAGACCCTATTAACATCTGAGGTTGCATGGAAACACACACTCAGCCCCAGATACTTTGTACTTAGTATACTTTTCACTGTCTCAATCTGTCATCACACTAAGTCAGGTACTGGGAAGAGCCCTCTATCCTAAAGTATCCAGATTTCTAACTTAAAAATTGGGCATATTCATTTCTGTTATGCATTGTGACTAAAACCCTTGCTCACAATGCTACCAAGGCTCTGATTGCATAAACTACCAATTGCCTCATCCATTTTTTTTTAATTACAAGCAACTGTTACCTGATAGGAGGTAAAAGTGAAGAAGAGCACTGCGCATCTTGTCAAGCACGCAGGCTCATCATAAAATTACTCACTGAAAAATAATTTCCTTGGTACATGTTACAGACAAAAACTAATTTATACAGCCCATACTGGGCTGCATGGAGAGCAACACAAAACCATCTGCACATTAACTCCAGCTGCAGGAGTAGTTACAAATTTATTTGCGTTTGGTCACCGTCTAGGTAGAAAATATGTCCAGCTACTGCAAACAAGCTGCACATTTCAGGTCAGGGACTGTTATGGCATGTTTACCCTCAGATTGTATTAGACACTTCCAAATAACCACTTGAGACATTTCCATGTCAATAAAGTGGTAAAAAGCTCCTGAATGATGTACTTGGTATTTTTCTTTGGCAAATATTTGCTACAAAGTCAGTGGGGACATGTATGAGTGAAGTTTGTACTGAAACTGAGAACACAAATGTGGAAGTCTTGGTATCCCTGAAGTTGAAATAAGTAGTCTTGCTAATTTGCTTGTGAGTCACACAGTCAAACCATGGTTGAGAATTTAGAGGACTTTACCCAATTAAAAAAAAAGAAAACCCACCAAAAAAATCAACAAAAAAAACAAACAAACAAAAAAAACACCAACCAACCAAAACCCAAAAAGTATTCCCTTGAAAGGAATAACAGTAGCTGGTCTTTTTCAGGTTTAGAATACCATTTTAAACTTTATTATTTGATAAGAGGATGTGATGGTTAGCACAACAATAGTACAACCTATTTGCAGAGAATGGTTTAATTACACATTAAATGAGCCCATCTCGTTTCTTTGCACGAGCTTAACTGCACACAGTCAAGATAATAAAGCAAACACCACATTTTGGTTATTAAAATAATTGCTTTCACAAACACTGACCTCCTGACAAACCAAATGGCTGGTGCCATGCATACAATACTCCCACAGATCAGGGATCTAATTTTAGCGTAAGTCCAAATTTACAGTTGACCATCAGCTTTTAAAAAAATTCTAGGCAAACAGTTTTAAGACAGTGATGTTTTCACCAAATTCCCCAAGATTTCATTCAAATATTCAAAAAAATTTAGAAAAACATCCTTCATTTAACCATATAACAGCCTTTAAGTGTTACCTAAGCAGGGGCGCAGCAGCAGCTTCAAGATGTTTCCTCAAACTCTCATATCTGGATCAGAGCAACCAAATCCATGACCTTCCTTTAAGCCACAGCTCTGGAAGATTTTTTTTATCTAGCTAATGGAGTTTTTCCAGGAACCAGTTACTTTGCAAAGGACCAAACATTTTCAGTGGGACTTTAATGAAAAAAAACATTTCCCCCCTAGCTTTATAACCAAAAGGACTTTAAGTATTTCTGCAAAATGGTGACAAATTTTCAAGACTCCAAGTAAAAAAATTTTAGTGAAATGAGTTGTCAAAACATTTTGAAAATCTGTCAACAGCTCGAATTCTTAGAAACCATGATTGGGTGATGCTTGAAATACAATCTTGTCCATGCTGAAGCAGCTAAACCATGTCCCTTGCTGCTTCAGCTGAGCTTTTTTCTTCATGGAAAGTTACTGGTAGGCTTTCATACCTATGAGGTGATTCCTCAAGCTAATCAGCATCCCACCAGCATCATCCTTTCCCAGGCAGGACATCTCCAGAGAGGCTGACATAGACTCCAGAGCCAGTCAGCTTCTACTGCTTGGAACCTGTCCTGTCACCCAAGGAAATGGCCAACTTTTCATGCTCCATCTAGGAGAAACCATCCCCTGTGAGGGGACAATGCATGGCATGGTGAGGTATGAGTTACACAGACTTTGCTAACTGGCTTCTTACTAAAAACATCAGGGGCCTCTCACGGTAGGTGAAATTGCTGAGGACTCCAGAGAACAGAACCCTCATTTTATAATGTTCCCAAAAGGAAAGCGAAAAACAGCAACAAAAACAATCAAACAAAAAAAAAAAAACCAAAAAAAAAACCAAAAAAAAAAAAAAAAATCAAACCAAACCAAACAAACAAAAAAAAAAAAAAACAACAAAACAAAATTTCCCCTGCAAACACAACAGCACCAGGAATCTAGTGAGATCCATCTGCAGCAACAAAATCCCTGCAAATTCAGGTAAATAAGCTTAGTTTTACATCATCTGACACAGTGGATTGCATGTAATCATTCCTGGACTACCACAGTGGAAATTATTTCCAACTGTAGTCATTGGCACTAAATGGCTCATTTCTGACCTATTAAGCCCTTGACCATCCATGGGAGACTTTCCATTCATTTCAATGGTCTTTTGATTAGGTCTGATACACTTTCCCAGTGTTTTTCTGCCTCTTGTGTCCTTGAGATCTGCTATTGCTTTCCCCAGCTATTGGGTTTGTGATTTATTGGTTTAATTTTTTTTCATTTTATTCAGTTTTAGTATTTATAATGGGATACAAGTGACACTTGGAAATAGGAGCCACTCTTTTTCTTAAGGGTTGCATGTGGTATTGGTCACCTTGAGCACAACAGGAGATAGGAAATCTTCTTTGATACTTCTAAACACTTTCACCTCTACAGAGCAAAATGCTTTAGCACAAAAGCAATAATGGCAAAACCCCAAAATTTAGACATGTCAGTTGCTGTCAAAAGATGATATTTTGATTAGAGTACTCTGTTCCTAGGAAGCATAGGTGTAAACCCAAGCCATTTTCTTCACCTGACAAGTATGAACAGTCTGTTAGAAAGGGAGGAAGTTCTCCTTGCTATGGATGTGGCCAAGAGATAACTGCCAATAATGTGAAATCTCATGGCTAAGCAAAATCTCTCAGATCCAAAATAAGAAATAGATGTGTAAAGCTATGGAGAGGTTCTAGTGATGGCAAATAGCCCTTTGCTAAAAGACATCATGCAGCTAGCCATGGGCAGGAAATACTTTCCTGTAGACAAAAAAAAAAAAAAAAAAAAAAAAAAAAAAAAAAAAAAAAAAAAAAAAAAAAAAAAAAAAAAAAAAAAAAAAAAAAAAAAAAAAAAAGGGAAAACACCAGAAAAAGTAGAACCAATAGAACCTAGGATAAATATATATATATATATATATATATATATAAACCAGGGCACAAGGCACAAGCTCCCTCCCATCCCACTGAGACTAACGCGGGCAACTGTAAATTGTGGAGAGCATTTCCTCCTCCAAGCTCAGATCTTTCCTACATGTGTTATCAACCCCTACACATATGTTTGCAGAACTGGCATCACTCCCATTCTCTCTGCAATACATTTATCAGTGAAAATTCTCATTTTATTTTAAAAATACAAACGTAATTATTTACTTCAAATCTCCCAGAAAAGGACTGCAGCTCTTACTGCAGCATAACAGATAGGAAAGGCTACAGTGTTTGTTCCAAGGCAAACAGCAAAGACAGAATCCAACATCTTAGGGGGGAAAAAAATCACTTTTCAGACACTAGCTAAGATTAAATGGGCATTTGGCATCCAACCCAAAATATATAATTTTCTTAGGTCTACCTCTGTGGAGTCAGATCAGAAACAACAAATCGCTCATCTAGAAATGGCTAAATTTAAGTAATTGCTGCTCCACCAGCCACCACCAACTCCTTCAAAAACACCCTCTTGGCAGCGGGCGTAGAGGAAAGCTTTAGAAGCCAAACCAGCCCCGCAGCGGTCAAGGCGCATCCCACACACGGCGAGGGACCAGCGCGTTCTGCCCGTCCCCCGCGCCCGGCCGGTGCCACGGTGGGAGCGGAGAAGTGAAGTGGGGAGAAGTGGGGAGCGGCGCGCAGGGCAGGGCTGGGCAGGGCAGGGCAGGGCAGGGCTGGGCAGGGCAGGGCAGGGCTGGGCTGGGCAGGGC